GGGTGGGTGTTGGAAGGGGAGAGATCATCAAATTTCAATAAGCAAGCACCAAAATCGAATAATTAACTATAGTGTTAAATTATACAAACTTTGCCATACAATTAGTTTCCATGAAAACAAATGCAAAAACATAATATCACCAAAACATTACATGCTCACTTGCGTTTGATTCACATGGTAGTAATAATTTCGCAAGTGAAACCAATAAGAAAGCACCAAGAGTTCCTTGTCATGGATTCAACCGTGCTAGTAACACCAATTGCATTTAGAGACAAGCAGTATCCAACAAAATTAAAGCTACACAGTTTCCGGATCATATCCATATGCTGCAACTATAAAACCAATAAAATCTCAGCTAACACAAAACACAAGCATATAGTTGACTTGAGGCTTACTGGAGGAACACGAGGTCTAATCTGGCGTTCAAACATATACTCCAACGCGTTCCGGGTACTTTTATGGGGTGCTGGGACGACCCCATACTCAGTAGCCACTCGGTGTGGGCATGCCACTGTAGTGTGGCCTTTAATTCACAAAACCCACATAGAAATTCAAAGAATTAAACTTTAAAAGAGGAAGAAAAAAAAAGACCAGCCCAATAAAGTAACAAATTTCTAGCAGTTATTACCAGGCATTTTACAAAGAAAGCAAGGTTTCATTGGGCAATCAATGTAAGTAGCCCCTTTGAAACCAGCTTCATGTCCAGGCTTTTTGCACACCTACATGAACCACCAAAAAAAAAAAATCAAAACAAACCCAAAACCCCAAAACCCAATACGGAAGTAGAAAATGTTAAAGGACCTTACTTTGCAAACTTTCTTCAGACTAATCGTAATGGGTGCTTTCCCTTTCTTCTTTTCATCCAAAGCCTCTTCGACTTTCCCTTCATTTTCGCTCTCCAACACCTCCTCTTCCTCTTGTTCTACGTCTGCTTCGTCTTCTTCGGATGAGCTTTGCTCAGAGTCCGTTTCTCTCTCAATGACCACCTTTGGGAACGCCATTCTTCTAGTTTGTGGGGGCATTTTCGGAAGTTAAGGATACTGGGGTGGAAAACAGGGGACCAGAGGAACAAGCACTGGAACAGAGAGTGTTGAGAGAGAGAGAGAGAGAGAGAGAGAAGTTGGGGGCGAAGCGAAGGGACAAAAGCCGACCTTTAACTTCGAGAGACGGGAGAGAGTTGAATTTACCAAAGTATCCTCCATATTTTGACATTGGCGTCTCTAGTTTTGAAAGCTTTTACACTTTCGAACAGACACAACCAGGGAGGAGAATGATATGGAAATTGTATTAAAATATAAGGGTATATCCGAACTTACAGAATTAGAGCGTGGCGGGAGAAGACGTGTCTCACTATCTGCCGCTTGGTTTGTTCGCACGTGTACTGTCATGTCATACCAGGGGATCGAGAGACCGTCTTTTTTTTTTTTTGGATGCGGAAAAAGAAATTACAAAACAAAGTCCTTAGGACACGAATGCCCGAAGAGGTCGAAATAATAGGGGGAACAAATTGACAAGAGAGGACAAGGGGATTGAGGGACTGTCGTTTTCCATGTTTTGTCAAACTATTTTTTCGATGAGATTTGTCAACTATTTTTGTGTTTGGAAATAATAAGATTTTCTCCGGAATCTAATTTCTCGATTCAAAATTATCGTACACCAAATTAAGGTATTCATAAACTAATTTCAAGCTTCCCTGTATCAAATTTTAGTCTTCAAGTGTTAGGACACAAGGTTTGATACAAGTTATGATAATGAAGTAAGAGTAAAGTGATTCAATATTAATTGTACTGAGGCTTTCTGAGTTACATATAAATGGGAAAATTGGGCCATATATAATGTATTGAATTTTTATGGTTTAATTTAAGATAATATCGATATTAATTTTGACTTAATAGTGAATTTCGCTAATTTGTTTAACCGTATGTTCTAAAGTGCCAACAGGGTCTAGGTAAGTGGAAAGGGATCTTGACTTGCAGTCATTGATTTCAAGTTCGAACCGGCATGACATCTTTGTGGTGCGTATGTAAGAAATTCTCCTCCCTTTAGGCTCCATTTGGTTTATGGGAAATGACGCTTGGGGATGGGAAATTAATTGCTTTCTCATTGTTGGTAAGTCCAAACATAGGAAATGGTTGCTTGGCAGATGGGAAAGTAGGGAGAAATCCTCCTCTATTGGGTATTGTTTTCCTCCTCATGGGAAAGTTTGGAAAAATGAGCCAATATTAAATGTACATTTTTCATGACCATTTTGTCCCTATTAACAATTTAGAATTACAATATAACATTAAATGCATTCTTTTGTTATTTAATTTCATATGGGTATAATTGGAATTTACATTTACACACAACCCAAACATGTGAAATGAAATAAAGTGGTATTTCCTGGTTACTTTCCCACGATTACCAAACATGAAAAATGAATCTTCCATTTTCCATCCTTTGGGAAAGACATGAAAATTTATTTTCCATCAAATCTTTTCTATGAGCCAAACGAGGCCTTATAATTTAGATTATCACTTGTGTTCAAAACCACATGTTTTAAGGTTGAACTTTAGCATAAATGAGTGCCCAATCAAATTCGAGTTAGGCTGATTTACAAAATTCAAAACTACAACCAAACCAAATCATTCCGATATGATTCGATTTTTAATTGTTTAACTTTGTTTGTAATTTAAATGAGGTTAATTTCAATTTAGTACCTCATGCATTCACTCTTAAGACATGTTTGCCCATGCACTCTCAATTTTAACAATTATGTATTATAATCTTATTAATTTTTTGCAATTTGATTCCAGCGTTAACTTCACCAGCAAAATTTTGGTTAATCGCCTACGTGACAAGCTTGTGTCCCACCTATTCACTTCTTTCAATGTCAATTGAAGGGTATTTTCATGCAATTGATGTCAAATGAGTTCGGTGGGATTTTTTTTTGTGTCATATGGGTTTGGGCAAGAAGACATCAATTGTCCGAAATACCTTTCAGATGGCATCAAAAGAAGTGAATAGGCAAAACCAGGCCTATCATGACTCACGTAGCCAATTCATGAAATTTTTGATGGTTAAATTAATGGCGAAATCAAATTGCAAAAAGTTAATAATATTAAAGTACATAATTGTTAAAATTGAGAGTGCAATAATAAACATACTGAATCAAACCGGGCACTCAAATCAGTCGGTTAGATTGGTTCGGCTGGATTGATCCACCTACAGGTTTGTGTCACACCAAATATTTTCGATTTATAGTGTCAATTTCAAATGTGTCTGCCATGTCTCTGTGGTAGTTATATATTATTGGCTCCCATTATGGCTTTTGAATATGAGCACGGGTAGGGGTGGACATCTCATCTGAATTATTTGCGTACCGACGATTTGGTATGATTTGGTTAAATAATTATTTTTAAATTTTAATTATTCCGGTTCGATCCGTACCGAAATATTTGGTTTGGTTAACGGAAACAAAATTCCTAACTCGACAGAAACTCGTACTGATCCGATATTTTATACTTATTTTATTATTTAAATACGAAACAAAAAACCAAAGGTAAATACAATCAGCATTTTATATCACTCCTTTATCACTACTATATTACTTCTTTTTCACCATTGTATCATTGTTTTATCATCATTTTATCATTGCTTTATCACCACTGTATCACTTATTTATCACCATTGTATCACTTACCCAAGTACTATAACACTTTTTGGTCAGAGAAGAATTTATGAATTTCCTATGTTTTCCAGTTTTGACCTTTGTCCTTTTTTTTTTATCTATAACTTTCCAACTGTTGATCCAAATTCTATGTTCTTTATATGGTTGAATTCAACATGAAAAACTAAAGAATCCCATGCAGAACAAATGTCAAAATCATTTACATAAATGTAGAAAATTTAATAAAAAGAACACTCAAAGATTCAAACAACAAACACAAGTGACTCCTAATACATCTTGAGTACATATTGAATGATATAGTGACTAAGTTATTTGATTTCATACTTGGATGAATTAGACTATTGGATTTTTATATTTTACAAGGATAATTTGGTGTATTTGTTCAAGAACTTATGTTATGTGAAAGTATTATAAATTGTATTTTTATTAGTATATTTTTATTACGGTACTATCAGTGTACCGGTCAATCTGAACTGAATATTAGGTTAACCGATCCGAAGTCTACTGAAGTATTTGGTTTGGTTAACGATAGAGAAAATGATCTACTAAATTCTTTGGTTTGGTTAATGGAATAGCCTTATACTGTTTCAAACCGATCCGTGCCCAGACCCATGCACGAATGTCTCTAAGGCCTGAACTGTCAAAGCCACTGCGGCGCCGACCTACATAGCCGAAGCAGCAGCAGCAGAGCATGAACTTCACAGTTTAAATCAAATCCCTAACCCAGATAATGCTTTCACTACGCTTCCCTATTTCATTCGAGAATGCTCTGATCACTCCCTTCAAACCCAGACCCTCGCGCTTCCAAACACCCACAGTCCAATCATTTCCACGCCGCTCAAGCTCATTCTCTCTTCCTCGCGCAACCACAGCTGGCGTGGTTCTCAAGGAAGAGGACAGAGAGTTATCAAATAACCGATTTGCCCCTCGAGCAGACTTCCCGCCAGACGGCGAGCCTTTGCCGGCCGGTCTCCAGCGAGAGCTGATGCCGAGGCACGTGGCGGTGATCATGGACGGTAACGTGAGGTGGGAGAGGCGGAGAGGGTTGCCGGCTGGGTCGGGTCACGAGGCTGGTGCTCGGTCGTTGAGAGAGCTAGTTGAGCTGTGCTGGAAATGGGGGATTAGGGTTCTTACTGTTTTTGCGTTTTCGTATGATAATTGGGTTCGGCCCCAGGTCAGTCGTCCAAGAGCGAAAAAAAGAGTACTTTCTATAGTTCGAAAAAGCCGAAAAAATGATTATAATAAAAAGTTTTTGTGGAACTGTGTAATGATTTGGTTTGGTTATAGTGTAGGTGGAGGTTGATTTTTTGATGAATTTGTTCGAGAAGATGACAAGCTCAGAAATCGACAGTTTTGCAAGGTAGCACATTTATGTTCAAATTAATTGTTGCTTGTTTAAATTCTTTATATTTCTGCTCTTGTATGTTGTAAAGGGAATTTTTTTCTCTTATGTGGAAGAGCAATCTGCATAGTTTTGTTGGGTTGTGGTGGAATTGGAAAGTTTGTGCCATTTGTGGTCAGTTATTCAACCACAGAGGAGGACATGGCTCCCTAAAGAGTTTCGAAACCATTTTTACTTCCTAGGGGATTGCAGCCAGTTGTAAGTATTAGCTCTATAGACTTCTTTTGCGCATTTACTTTGGTCAGTGGTGCGTTTCTACATGGTAAATTGTAACCTAAAACTCCTCATTCGAACTGGTTCTGGTGCCTCTATTTGTATATTTTCCGGGTGTAGGTGTTAATAGTTGATGGAAATATTTTCTGAAAATTGGCCAGCAAGGAAAGAATTGTTTCAGATTTTGATGAGTGGTTGTTGTGGGATGTGAATATTATATTTTCTTTCTTTTTGTCTCTCATCAGACTCAATGTCAATGTTATTGCAAAACATCTGATCATTACCTTTTTGTTTTGACAGGGATGGTATTCGAATTTCGGTCCTTGGGGATTTGTCAAAGCTCCCTAACTCTTTACAGAAATTGATAAGTGATGCAGAGGATAGAACGAAAGGCAACTTTAGACTCCACCTGATTGTAGCAGTGAGCTACAGTGGAAAGTACGATATTGTGCAAGCATGTAAAAGTATTTCTCAGAAGGTGAAAGATGGCCTTATTCAAGTTGACGACGTCAATGAAAGCCTCATTGAACAAGAACTGGAAACTAACTGTACTGAGTATCCATACCCTGATCTACTGATAAGAACCAGTGGAGAACTCAGAGTCAGCAACTTCTTGTTGTGGCAGTTGGCTTACACGGAATTTTTCTTCGTATCAGCTCTTTGGCCTGATTTTGGGAAAGCTGAGTTTGTTGAGGCCTTGATTTCCTTTCAGCAGCGGCAGAGGCGTTATGGTGGAAGAGATTTATAAGTGATCAAAAGTCATGAATTTAAATCGTACATTTTTTGCTGAAAGCTTGTACATATCAGCATCAAGTACTGGATGTAAATGTAATGAATAGTATTTATGCATCTAATTTCTTCTGTCCCCTACATCTGGACTTGTATAAAATATTTATGCATGCACATATCATGTCCGTGTGCCTAGATGCTTGGTATATCATTGCCATCTTTGTCGAAGAATCAATTGTTCATGCTCTGTAATTTCATTATTTCTGCATTTCTTCACTCTCATCTGATTAATTTAGATTTGCAGGCACTTCTGCAATAAGGGTTTTATTAATTTTACCCTGGCTTGTCCATTTACATAGCTGATAGCACGAAGGCATATTTAACTGCGGGGGCAATAAGCATATGTGAAGCAATATCTCTCATTCAATGGTAAGAGAAAGCTCAGTGACAGTTTTCTGTACTCGCTATTCCTTTCTTGTCCATTTTACTTAATCTTAAGTTTTAAATGTAATTTTTGCTTCACATTAAAGCAAACTTGTGTGCTTCCTGTTGGATTGATTGCAAAACAGGTGCTAGTCTATCTTTGTTCACAAGAGAGATACATTCTAATTTGAACAGTTGGGATTACCGGTTGCATAGTGCAGGTCCCCTGATGAGTGTTTATTCTGAAGGAAGTAGTGTTCTCTATTATCCAGATCGGAGCATGGATATGTAATCAGCATGGCGCCTTTGAATAGGAGCAGCTCATGCATAATGCCGTGGAGGTTCCTGTCCTGAGTATGGTATACACGGGATTATATTGCCCCACACTGTGCAGTCATTTAGGTTCAACTTCATCCTACTTGAGTGTTTCATGGTTTTCTATTGCTGCAGTCTTTGCGCTGATTCATTTAGCTAGGTTTTGCACAACCATGTTTTCAGGGCAGAATGCAGATCATGAACAAGAACAAGGTTAGTTCTGCTCCAAGGTATTTGGCTCTTGATTATGCCTTCATCTGTTGATGATGGTTTGTAGTCATATGACTGAATCTGATGGCCGCTAGATTTGGCCAAAACATTTACTCAAATATGGCAACCTTATCCGAGACGAAGATTTAGAAAATGGAAAAGAATAATGAGAAAAATGAATTGGAAGTTTAAAATTTGAACAATAATGTGGTCGATAGCAGCCCCAAATTAGGTGGGATGTTAATAATATATTAGAGTTAGTTGTTGACTTTCTATTTGATTCCTTTTGCCTGGCATGGGTTAGGTATATTGATGGTTAATTAAACATTCATTTTGCCTTGGTTTAGGCATATCCAAAGTTCTTCAAGTGAAGAACTGATTTGGTTTTGGTCATGTCCTGGCAAATTGCAGGCTTATCTCAATTCTTCAATCCACGACTGATTTGTGGTTGAAGGTTGGATGTCACAACAAGCGGCCCCAAATACTAAATTGAGCATGTGTTCAAAGGAAAACTACTTTTCAGAGATGGGCCATATTTTATTGTTGCTGTCGAAATCTTGACCTCACCAATAAAGATAGTTTTTATTTCTTCCCAAAATTGGAGACTTATCAAGTGAGGAACGGTGAAACTCATGGGACAGAAATTCTCTTTCTTTTTTGAGAATGCTACCAACCTTATCTTTAATATTTTTTTTTGGACTTCATCCCTTCTCCTCCTGCCATGTGTTGCCTTCTTTATACTAAAATAATGTCATTAATACGTAGTTTTTGTTTTTCAAGATTATCCGTATTGAATATATTGACTTTCATATTACCTTTAATTTATCTAAATTTTTTTACAAATTGAAAAAATAAAAATTGAAATTAATAAAATAATATTTTGTTTTACCCACCAGCCCCAGCTGTACGCTCCATCTCCATCTTTCAAAATATGTTGCCTCTCTTGCCAGCCACTCACCACTACGTAACATTTTCCTCCGCCCCTTGTGGCCGGGTTGTTTTTTCAATGCTTTCATATTTCCTTCTTAATGTTTTAATTATTAATGTCCTAAAACTGATTTTTTAAATTGAACTTCGTATTTTTTTAAAGGAACTGAGGGGGGTATTTTATATCATTCAAAATTTGATATGCTACCAAACTACAAAAGCGTTATCCACTAATGTTTTGGAAATTCAAATTGTCAAAATTTTGTGTTTGTTAAATGATTAGATATATATATGTATACACATATATATTTTTAAATAACATTTATTATTATTTTTAATAGTAATTCAAAAGAAAGTTACTACATTCAATAAGGGTAACTTTGGAAAACAAAAGTTATGCATTAACGACATTATTTTAAGTGTAAAGAAAGTGACTCTTAGCATAAGAAAAAGAGAGAAGGTTCCTAACATTCCCTTGTTAGAAAAGTGAGTTGTATAATTATTTTGTTTTTAAAGAAATGCTAAAGAATCTTTTTTTTTTTTTTCTTTCTGTCTTTATAATGGTTTTTGTTGTTGTTGTAAAGTTAATAAAACTTTATACGGCTTCTTGTTTATCCACCAAATATATGTAATAATGGTAGTGATCTCTCTCAATTATTCAATGTGGGCCAGTAAAGGAAGGACAAGGTGACATGTATATCCCTTATCCAAAATCCAGCTATACACCATAATTACTTATATAGGAACTGAAAATGAGTTTTTTTTATTTATTTTTATTTTTAAATTTAAATTTTTTGAGTAGTTTTTCTATTCTTATGAAGAGAGACGATAATATATTAAATTCACACACGTAATACATATTAGGACTTGAACCAAGACATTTTTTGGAAAAGCAACTGCTCCAAATCACTATACTAGTTAGTTATTTGCCAATGGTGAATCAGTTTTAACATTTCATTATCCCTTAAGACGTATTAATCATATAAAAGTCATCAAGCTAATCATAATTAATAAATTACACGTCATGGTTGGCCTTGGACAAATCGTCCTTTTTTTCGTAGTTTTGTCAAATCCCCCACCCGCTGCGCCTACTGGTTTTGGCTCCCTTTACTGTGTTCACTGCAAGTTTCTCAAACCACCAATTAAATCCTGCCACGTTACGACACTAAACCACTTCAAATTTTCATCTCTCCCCATAAAACCACGTGCCTTATGATTATTCGCCACTGCACAGGCAAAGGCAAAGTCTTCTCAGGAGAGAGAATCATAAATTCATAATCCGTATTAGATGATAAAGAATTTAAAAATCAGCCCCTTCGTTTGTTTAAGGAGTTGGAGCTTACAGTGCAGTGGTGGTCTGAGCTCGTCTCTGGTTTTGGATAAAGGTTCAGACTTTAGGGTTTTTTTAAACTGTTTTTTTCTCTGTTTTTCTGTTCGGTGAACGGGAATTTTTTTTCCCGGAAAGTGCCGGCCATGGGAAAATCGTTCAAGGACTCTCTTAAAGCGCTTGAAGCAGATATTCAGCACGCCAATACTGTGTAAGTCTCCGTATTTTTCTTTATTCAGCTATCAACTCCTCTGTGTAGATTTAGGATTTTTTTAAAAAAATTTCCCAACTTTTTTGTTTATGCTCTCTAAAACTTTATAATTTTTGTTTTCTGGAACCGTCTAGTGTTTTTGGGACCAACCCAAGAAGAGAGAGAAAAAAAAATATTGAAAGAAGCCAAACTATAATTGGGGAACATCTACAGTAGCTTCAGTTGAATGCCCCTGTTTGGGTACTTGAGAATGAATTTGGAAAGATCAACAAATAAAATTGTGCTTGAGCTGGTGCTACGAAAATCACAGTTATTGGCATTAAAAGAAAAAAAGAAAAAGAGAAAAGAAGAGCCATTGCAAATTTGCAGAGGCCACATCTCATAATTAAACTCTAGTAACTACACTTTTGTTTTGGTTATTATATTTCTTTGACAGTGTCTGCTGGCCCCCCAATATTTTGGGCAATTGGGTCTTCCCTAATCCATTAGATTGGTACTAAATACTTAAAATGTGCAATAACTTGATTTGTACCATGTATAAATGCTGTAGATTTTATTTATTGTGTGCAATTATGTCACTTTGGTGATATAATAATTGTTGAATGCTTGTTAATCAAATGCTTTGCTGGGCCATCATTGTTTTGTTTAGGGCTTTAGATTATCCAAGGGAGAAAGATGGAGCACGTCTCCAGATGAGACTATCCTACTGTCCGGCGGCAAACTTTTTTCTCTTTCTTGTCCAGTGGACTGACTGTCACCTTGCTGGGGCCCTTGGTTTGCTCAGAATTCTTATTTATATGGTATATTTCTGTTTTTTTTTTAATAAACAAAATTGAGTTTTATAGGTTATGTCAATGCTCGTTTCGGTTTTTGTTTTTGTAATTAGAGATATAGAGCCAAGAGAGGAGAAGGAGATGAGAAAGCCGAGCGAATGATAATTTAAAAAGTTGAAATAGTTTTTAGTTTTTAGATTAGCACATGCTGTCTATTTCTTCCTCTCTTGCTCACCTTTTCCCACTCTATTCTCCTCCCTTCCCTCCTTTATTTTTAATTATTAAAAAAAAAAAACACATGTTAGCAAAAGAGCATTTTTTTCTGTGTAGGTTTCATCATTTTTAATTCATTCATATCATATGCGCCTAATATTAGATTCCATCTTCAGAAAATGTAGTGAGTTTATTATGACTTCTTATTTGGGTGTGGCAATGTGGTGGATTTGTGCAGACATATCCCGATGGAAAGACCACCATGTCAGTTTATGAAAGGAAAGCCAGCATTAGAGAATTTTATGGTGAGTGATGAAGTAAAGATGAACTTTACCAATGTAGTAACATTTGTAGGCACATGCATAATACTGAAAGTAGATCTTCTTGGGAGGCTGTGAGGGGGGAAAGGATGGGAGGCAAGGGATATATTTTTTTCCTTCATTGATATTTATGGATGTCGTTTGTGTTCACGTGTTTTTCTTTTCATGAACAGGTGTGATATTTCCTTCTTTGCTGCAACTTCAAAGAGGCATCACAGATTTAGAGGATAGGAAGCAGAAAGAGGTTTGCACTGTCAGATACAAAAGAAAGGAGGAGTTGGACAAGGGAAAACTCTCTGAAATTGACATCGAAAGAGAAAAAGAGTGCGGAATTTGCATGGAGGTGGACAAAAAAGTTGTGTTACCTAACTGCAGTCATACATTGTGTTTGAAATGTTACCGGGACTGGTAAGCTTGAACCAACACCCCCCACCCCCCCTTTTTTGGTCTTCGTTATAGTTTTCAACTTATTCTTCACAACATATTTTGTTGTGTATAAATCATGTTTTCTATTGTGTGCAAGAGATTTCTACTTAATGTTTTCTGTGGAAGCTTTTGGTCATAACAATTTTATAGGTGTGGATTACATTTCTCTGTGCCCATTTATCCCCATATATGGAAAGAGCATTGTTTTCAGAAACCGTTGTACCTTCTCTGTCATTAAGTTGTTTGGTTACCCTTTTTGGCTCAGCTGTAAGATTAAAATGGCCGATGACTTAGACCTTGCTTAATTGAATGATATTTTGAGTAAAGCTGGCATTTGCATTTCAAAAGCTTCATCACTTGTTTTTTTGTATTTTCTTTTTTCTTGTTAAAAAAGGTTTTTGCCAATTTTGAATATGGGATGGCACTTGATGTTATTCTGCTGTTTGTTTCAGGCGTGGGCGGTCTAAGTCGTGCCCCTTTTGCCGTGATAGCCTCAAAAGAGTCAACTCAGGCGACCTTTGGATCTACACTGAAAAATGTGATGTTATTGATTTATCCACAATATTAAGAGAGGACCGCAAGAGACTTTTTATGTACGTTGAAAGATTGCCTCTTGTTGTTCCAGACCCTGTATTTCTACCCTATGATTCTCATGTTCGGTGAGACTCATGTACAGCTTTTGGGAACTACTTGTAGATAAAAAGCCTGATTGTATTGTGTAATTCGTAATCTTTTAAAATGTAAATGCACTTTCGCCATAGTTTTGATTGCCTTAAGAGTAACTTGAAAAACTGGTTCAGCGTAACAGCATATGTTTTGTTCTTTCCTTTTGAAATGTAATGATAACTTGAAAGCAATACTTGCAAATTTGCAATACCAAGAAGCAGAGTATATATAATTTGGTGAATCAAGATCCATTGTCTTGCAAGCTCACATATTCTGCATAAAAGCGTGGATGATTTTCGTCTGAATGAACGTAGGCATGGCCTCCATGACTGGAAACATCAAGGCCTGCAACTTCTTCATCAACAGAGATCCTCAAAATCTGAAGACTGTCAAGCGCATAGAAAAGAGGGCCCATTGTCAAGCTGACCCAGCCCGCAATGACCAAAACCTCAGTCACTTGGGCTCCGAGCAGACCCCAACCGCCACCCATCAAGAGACCATAAGGCCGTACAGTACCCACCGTGCCGGAATTATAGGCTTGGATCACAAACTCCTCTTTTGCAAACAGCCCAGTAAATATCAATCCCCATGCACCACACCCGCCGTGCAGTTGAGTCGCTTCTAATGGGTCATCGAACTTTAGCTTTAGGGCCAAGATGTTGAGCCCAATTAAGACCCAGGCTGCGAAGAACCCACACACGACAGCAGCCCAAGGCTCGACCACAGCACATCCTGATGTAATTGCCACAAACCCACCAAGCACTCCATTGCAAACATCTAGAGCATCCCAATGGCCTACTAGTAAGCGCCGGCCGAATAGGGTTACAATTCCGGCAGTCGAACCTGCTAATGTGGTAATAACTGCTGTTCGGCCCACCGCGGTCCAATTCCCTTGATCACT